GAACTAGACTATATGTTCATAGCAATGTCAAGGCAAATCTACAATATGCATTTAGCCTGCTGAGAGATGCTGTCTGCCATGAAGGATTTTTATATAAGTCGTCACTACAACACATTGCACAAAGCTAAATATGAGAAGTTTACTGAAGTCGTAAGTAAATAACAATGACTTTTTATAACCACGTAAGAGTCTGAGCACTAGGCTTCTTGAGCTTGGGTTTTACTTCCTTACYATGTGAGGTAGCGTGTCGGTTATTGCGTCATTTCAGACGTCTTTTTCCTTACCGAGAATAAACAAGCTGAAAATGCAGCGGGTAAATTATCATAATTCCTCCCACAGCGCATTTAAGTACATAAACAACAATAGTGATGGCTGGATTTTTTTTTAATTTTATTTTAATTTTTTCACTCAACGATCAGTGTTGTGTTGAGTGAAGAGTCTGCAGAGGAATTTTTTTTATMAACTGTGGTGATGGAAAAAAAAGGTCCATCAGCTGCATGCTCACGCTCAGTAAGATCAAATCAGCTGCTCTGCTAGCTAATTTAATAACCAGCTTCAGAGAAAAGATAGTTTTCAACAAAACAACATGTAGAAGTAGAAGCTGCTCAGAGTCCTGCTCTGGTCTGCTCAGGCGCTGTGTTGTTCCTCATGAACAAACACGCCCACAGAATTCTGACCAATCACACGCCGTGAGCTGCAAGGTCCGCATCGCAGAGTTCTGACTGGGGGCAATGCACACAACAGCTGTCACCGTGGGATCGCAGTGGGAGAGCAGACTGAAGTTACGCGTTTTTGCATCTCGAAACATAAACCAGCCTCTCTGCCGTTGCACTTCTGCTCGCTAAATAAGTGTTTACTTCTTGTTTGCTTCAATTTTTTTGTTTTCGTGTTTATTAAACAACAGTACAACCGTTATACATGCATTTGATCATGAAATGTGTTAAGTTACTGTATTGTATGTTGGTTTAATAAACATATAGCAGCATTATGTGGCTCTCTGGTAGTGTCTGGCCCCTTTCCATCATTTAAGTTGCCCATCTCTGCTTTAATCTTAAGCCCTGTGATGGACATGTGATCTGTTCAGGGCGCGCCCCACCTCTCGCAGAGTGGCTGCTAAATAAAATGTATGGATGGACTCATAGCTTGGTTTGGCTATAATAGAAATAAGCTGGCTGTGGTACAGTATCCGCCAGCAGAAATGGCTTCTGACATCAACGTTTTAACAGGAATGGAGTTTGACCAGCTGACCCGTTGGCTCAGTCACGCCTCACCTGACAGACGTTACAGAATCAAGCTGAAATGACCAAGCAGCTGACGCAGCAAGAAGCCCATGCTGCACTGTTCAATATGGTCCAATTTTAACAAATCAGTCTGGGCTACTTGCATATAATTTTTATTTCCTGAGACAGTTTTATGAGTGAGGTACTGCCATACAGTGTAATCCATTTCTGTGTCGTTTTAAGGGTGACTTACAGGCAGCTGTGGCCAGGAAGGTACCTTAAACTTTATAAATGTTTTTTTTATTGTGTTGCTGTTTTGCAGTAAGAGAGTAGATCACTACTTTATACAATCCAGGTTTGATGATCAAACAAGCAAACATCAAATTATACTATTTATATTATATTTTTTATTAGTAGTAGTCGTATCATTGCTAGTTAGTGTTAATTTTGTTTCATTTTTTTGTGCACTATCTATAGTTTGTAAAGTAACTAGCATGTGAACCTCTGCACGGATGCTGCTGTGACACCTGAATTCCCCCCACGGATAGACAATAAAGGCTATTTTATTCTATTTTAGTAAAAAAGTATTCAACTTAATCTTTAACATGCAAAAAAAATCTCATAAAAGAGTAAAAATCCTCTCCATTCATGTCTGGGAAGAGAAAACGCAGCCAGCCAGCGTTTGTAAAGTGGCAGGTCAGATGTTGTAAATGTCATCTCTGCCTTCTATGAAATCAATTAGCGAGTGAAGAAACACAGAGCAAACTATCAGCTCCAGAATCGGAGCAGATCAACTCCAGCTGAGGGGGTTGGAGTCCTAAATCCTCGCGAGAATCCCCCAGAGAGGGACGAGTTACGCCGAAGGTGGATTTAGAAATACGCAGCTAACACTGCAGGCTCATCGTCTCACAATTACTTCAACACGCCGGCCTCTTCACCGCTTTGTTGCGAAGCAGCACGAGGAGACGGAGAGCTGACGGGATAAGACTGCCAACTGTACTGATTTATGATAATCAGAGAATCCAACTTTCATCAGATTATGAGTGCGACAGCCTCCAAAAACAAAATATACACTAATTTAGAAGTGTTTACAAAGATTGACTGACTATTTTCTGTCTTTTTTCTAGCTTTATGTTCTCCAAGTATATTGCTTAGTCCCATTTTTTTATGAAAAAACTTGRGTTTTAGTTGAGAACTACGTCTAACCAGGCTCAGTTTTGATCTCTGATACTATTTGTAGGTTTCTTCTGGCAGTATGTGCCATTTAAGAATAAAATTAGACAGACGAGCTGGAGGCATTGTGTCAGAGATGCTAAAATGACTCATTTATTATTTTTCATTATTCTGGAGAAAAGGCTTTTTCGCTGTAATGACGTTCAAAGCCTGTCTTTGTAARTACAGCTATCAAACATTCCTTGCAATTTGTAACCATCTTTAAATGTCTCCTGAAGGAGTTTTAAACTTCCTCTTTCCTGCAGGGAGCTTCAGGAGTTTATTTTTTTATTTTTTTTTATTGAATGTTTTGGATCATTGTCTTGTTGTTATGTCTGCTGCAACCCAAGGTCATGTTTTTGCTGTCTTTGTTGCATGATCCTTTCAGAGCATTGCCAAGTGTGAGGGGAAAAAACTCCCTGATGTGCTTTGATGTGATGATCGTGTTCTGGAGGTGAAATGATTTGCCTTTTATCCATCAGACAGAAGCTGTGTCTTTGAGCTCAGAGAAGTCAAATCTAATCTTATCTGGACTCTAAATAGACAACCAAAACTTTTCTTTATGATGGTCTGGAAAGGCTGAAGGAGATTTTGTGCACTTTTCGTTTAAGTTGAAAAACTTACTTTGAAAGTTATGTCTTGCAGCATCCCTACAGCCTCAAAGGTCTTTTTATGTCCATCAAGTGATTGCTTTTTGCATGTTTCAATAAAAATTTGTCCAGTGGTTCATTTGTACGGAGGACCGAAACTGTCATAATCAGAAATAAAAGCAGAAATGTAGAAATGAACCAATAAATAAATACACTTAAATGCACCAGTTGAATAAAACAATGAGAACTTTACCTTATATTTTATAGTTTAATTAATCTTTATTTTTTTCCAGTTTGGTTCCAATAAATTATATATTTTAGCACATAATTTACAGTTTGTTTTTAAATTTGTTTTTCTTTTACTTGTACATGCATTTGTGTCTCTCAAATGTTTATATTTAATTGTTTTTTTTTCCCACAAGTCTTTTTATTTTTCTGTCTCCTGTTTTTACTTTATCTTATTTCTGCCTTATTATGCAGATAAGGTGGGTGGGCCTTCTTGGGTCAGCTCTTCTCCTGTTGGTCAACAGACAGGAAGGAGCAGGACCCATGTGCAGATCGACTGCGCATGCTTGCGCTGCCTCTGTTTAGCTTAAAGTGTAAAGTTTAGTTTAAAATAAAGGCACAGGTATGTGTTTTCCTCCTTGACTTTGTTTTAAACTAAACTTTAACCTTAAAGCTAAACCGAGGCAGCACAAGCATGCGCAGTAGATCTGCACTTGGATCCCGCTGCTTCCTGTCTGTGGACCAACAGAAGTGGAGCTGACCCAAGAAGGACAGCCCACGTGAGGTAAAGTTCTCATTTTTTAATCTAATTAGTGCGTTTTCTTAATTTATTGGTTCATTTATACATTTCTGCTTTTATTTCTAATTATGACGGTTTCGGTCCTCCATACATGATGTTTTTTGCTAGCAGACATGCACACAGACAGACAAGCAAAACATTATTGACTACCTTCACGTTACGGCAGTGAGTGGGAATAAACAAGCCTTTTGATGTTAAAACCTTGAAGATTATTGCAGAAGAGAAAAATAAAAAAATTAAACTTCTGGACTGATGCTAAAAAAGTATTTTGTCACTCATCCCAGAGAAATAAAAAGTCAATTTGTGTTGCTGATGGACTGAGAGGCGTCCGACCTGAATCTCTGCCTGGGCGTCTGCCTCTCCGGACTCTTGCACAGGTGGCCGATGTAGTACAGGGGGAAGAAGAGGCAGTTCCAGCTGGTGGCGAACCAGGTGAGGGTGAACGGGGCGTCGAACTTCTTAAACGTCAGCTTGGCCAACTGGGTGGAGCCCGCCCAGGACGAGCACACGCACACGACCATGGCGACCCCCCACAGGGCCTTCCGCACCTGCAGGGCTGTTACTCTGATGCAGCAGCGGAGCCTCCGTCTGTCCGGCTCGGACCCGGCTGCCCCGGCCGACTGGGAGTCTGCGGCGCCCACCACGTTCTCTCTGGTCCGGTCTTCTCCTGTACAGAAACACAACAGAATTATAGATTTATTTTATTTTATTTTTTTTTTCAAAGAATCAGAATCAGAATACTTTATTTATCCCTGGGGAGAAATTACAGTTATAAGTAAAAAAAAATTAGAAAATCAAAGATAAGCACTTGAAAGGAAAACAAAATAAACACACTTATGGACATATGACATATGAATCAAACGTATGCAGAAATAAACAGTATTGTTTGGTATTATGTAATATATGAAGTAAATTTTGTGAAATATAAAACATTTCAATTAGGGTGCCACAATACGGTGCTTTACGTTCAATACACACTTGTATCAAACAATACAGATTTTTAACATTTATTTTATCAACTTATCTTCTGAAGACGCTCTGTGTTGAAGGATCAGTTGATCTGTGTTCGACTACTCCACCTAGGCTGCACTGTGGAGCACAGATCCACTGAGAAACTTGCTGTTTCAGCAACATTTCATTTAAAAACTGCACTTTTGAGGTTAAACAAATGTTTATACTTATTTTAAATAAATTACGAGTTTAAAAGGGCATGGACATTTCTCTTTTTTTGTATCGAAACAATATCGAACCGTGAGACTGGAGTATTGAACCGAACCGAATCGTGAATTTTCTGTATCGTTGTTGCCGTAATTATAATATATAGACAGGCTGGCTGATGTATAAATCTAATGGAATACACTCAAAAAACATTTAATGGATTTAATTCAAAAAGTCAAATATGTCAACTGTTACCACTCAACTGAATTGAGTGTCAATCTAACTCATTTACTTTACATTTACTTAAAGTCAAAGTAAAGAAAACTTTAATCAATTCAGCTGAGTGGAAACAGTTGACATATTTGATTTTTTTGAATTAAATCCAATTATATCTGTTTTTTGAGTGTATAAACAGTATAAAATATAATGAAAATTAAAATATTAATATAAACAAAAATATAAACAGTATGGTTAGGCGAGAAAAGAAAAAAATGTTGCACATAATTAAAAAATATGTCCCAGATTATGCTGAACAATATAAAATGTCCCATAAATATGTTATAAAACAATATAAAAAAAGATGATATTATGGGATATTGCGCATAAGATGACTTTTGTCATTTGTGGGACTTTACGCTAAACTTCCTGCCATCCTTAAAACCTTAAAAATAGCTGTTTCCTTGGTTTGGTTGAACTTGAAGTTGAGTAAGCAATCAGACACTTGAGTTAAAAATATTACAACTGAGTGTGACGGGCAGCAGACAAACAGAGGACGAACGAGGACGGATCTGACATCCAATCCAAGGCGACCCGCTCTCAAACGGATGAGTTGTGGTGGTTTGTGTTTGTGCAGGAGGCCACAAAGTCACACACAGCACCTCCTACATTTTCTGTTTGTCCCATCACAACCTGATAGGCTCCGTGTGTAGAAGTGAGGCAAAGTGTCATCTGCTAGCCTCTCCCGTTCAGCTGGCTGCTTCACGGCTGAGAAGGTCATTTTTTCCTGAAGTCTTGTGGCGCAAAACCTGTTGTTTCCTCTGAACTGTTTAGTTAGAACCAACCGGGTCATAAATACAAAACMAATTCATCCTTGAAAGCAAGAGTTTGAGACAAAGCTCCTCTTATGTTCAAAAATTATGAAGTTGTGGCCATTTTGGTCAAACTTAAAAAAAAAACTGCAATATTGCCAAATGTCGCACTCAGATAATGTGTTGGGAACGACTCTTGACTATGATTTTAACTCAATATCTAATAAGTTGTGGATGTGGTAGATGTCTCAACTAGGGGTGCAACAATACATCGGTATCGAATCGTTCAATACAGTGCTTTAGGTTCAAAACACACTATGTATCAAACAATACAGATTTTTAAATTTAATTTTATCAACTTGTCTTCTGAAGATGCTCTGTGTTGAAGGATCAGTGGATCTGTGTTCGACTACTCCACCTAGGCTGCACT